CGCTGACATTCCCGACAGCTCTTGACGTACTTCTTGATGCTTGCTGAAAGTCCTGGCCAATAGTACCTCTCGCTCACTCTGGCAAGTGTCCTTGAGTAGCCCAGATGACCGGATGTGGGTTCGTCATGGCAAGCGAAGAGAACGTCGGCTCGCATGTCTCGAGGAACCACCAGGAGGTAAGCACGGTTGTTCGAACGAGCGTTGTTCTTGTACAGCACACCGTCTTGCAGGCAGAATGACGTCAACGAGCGGGATAAATGACTTGGTATGATAGCGCCCTGGCCCTCTAAATGATCAATGATTGGACGAATCTCTGCGTCATCTCGCTGCCGTTTGCTCAAGTCTGATGCGCTAATGGCGCCCAGGAAGCCTTCGTCTTCCTCTGCTTCCTGACTGACGACATGAAGAGGTGCGCGTGACAGTGTGTCAGCGTCTTCATGCTTACGGCCAGACTTATGGACGATGGTGCCATCAAATTCCTGCAGCCGCAAGCTCCACCGTGCTAGCCGTCCTGAAGGGTCACGCAGGCTTGCCAACCAACTGAGTGCGTGATGGTCCGTCACTATCTTGAAGGGACGACCATAAAGGTACGGGCAAAACTTGGTGATTGCCCACACGACTGCGAGGCACTCTTTCTCCGTAGTGGAATAATTCGCTTCGGCACGGGATAGAGAGTGGCTGGCGTAGGCTATGACTCTTTCGGTGTCCTCCTGACGCTGAACGAGCACTGCCCTGAGCCCAATGTTACTAGTGTCGGTATGGACCTCCGAGTCAGCATAATCATCGAAATGAGCGAGAACGGGCGCTGATAGCATGCGCTGTCGCAGCTCATCAAAAACTGCTTGTTGCTCGTTTTCCCAGACAAACGGCGTGTCGTCCCTTGTGAGACGAGTCAGAGGTTCTGCTATCTGAGAAAAGCTATGAATGAACAGACGATAGTAGGCGCACAAACCAAGGAAGCGCCGGACGGCTTTCTAACCGACAGGACCTGGTAATTCGGCAACAGCGGCAAGCTTGTCCGGATCGGGCCGGATTCCTTCGGCGCTAACTACATGTCCCAGAAATTTCAGTTCTTTATAGCCGAAGTGGCACTTCTGTGGCTTTAGTGTGAGGTCCGCCGATCGGATAGCCTCCAGCACGCTGCGCAGGCGGTGAAGGTGCTGCTCGAACGTGGTAGAGAAGACCACCACATCAAGGTAGACAAGACAAGTCTGCCACTTGAGCCCTGTGAGGACAGTGTCCATCATTCGCTAAGTTGCCGGCGCTGAACACAAGCCGAAAGAGAGCACTCGAAATTGGTATAGGCCGTCTAGAGCCACGAAGGCTGTTTTCTCACGGTCTCGCTGATCTACCTCGATTTGCCAATACTCGCTTTTGAGATCGAGAGAAGTGAAATAATGGGCACGACGAAGTCTATCCAGGGAATCCTCGATACGTGGCATTGGATACACATCCTTTTTGGTCACGTTGTTAAGCTTTCGGTAGTCAACGCAGAAGCGTAGCGACCCGTTTTTCTTTTTGACAAGTACGACTGGAGATGACCATGGGCTGTTAGATGGTTCAATAACGCCATCGCCAAGCATCTCGCTGACTTGCGTACGTATCGCTTCATGTTCTTTAGCAGACAAGCGGTAGGGGTTCTGGTGTATCGGCCGTGCGTCCCTCGTACGTGATGATCCTGTGTTGAGTGATAGACGTCTGGCGTCTTTGAGCAACTTGGGAAGCAAGACCTGAACTCGAACAAGAGCGCTCGTAGCGCAGTCTGGTTATTGGTGGACAGATCAGGATTGATGTCAATATTACTCATTGACGTGTCGGTGGTATCCACTAGTTCTGACGTGAGACAGTTGGTGACGTTTGCTACTTCGTGGGCAAACGCTATCAAAGTGTCACGGAACAGATGTCGATGCTCGTTGCTAAAATTGGTTACGAGCAATTCAGATCGGCCATCACGAAGGTGTATTACACTTCTAGCTACACAAGTGCCTTGCTGCAGGAGGTGTTCTAAATTTGTCTCGGCCACCACATCGCCATCGCCCAAACCACAGCATGTTACGTCGACTAGAACACTTGCTCGTGGAAAAAGCGTCACGCTCTGTTAAGAAATACGGAGTACGTCGACACGCCTTCTGTCATCTTGCACGTTGATTGCTCGCTGGGCTGAGAACGTGACGCGGCGCTCTTGTAGATCAATGATAGCTCCATTTTCCTGTAGAAAGTCAACTGCCAGGATGACGTCACGGGAACATTCGCGTAGAACGAGGCAGCTTGCTACGAATGTATACCCTTGGATCTGTACTCTAGTTGTAAAGGCACCCAGTGGAGTAACGACGTGGCCACCAGCTGTCCGAATCTGCGAGTTATGCCACAGCATGATGACTTTCTTCAGCTGCGTTGTCAGTTTCCCGCTCAGTATAGAATAGTCGGCGCCGGTGTCCACTAACGCATTAACTGCACAACCATCAATTGTCACTGCTATGTCGAGTGAAAGTCCGCCATCTTTTGCAGCAGTATGTGATGTCGGACCGGTTTCTGTATGGTTCTGCGTCAATAGGAGGTCTTCAGCACTTCGACGTTCAGCGACCCCGCCCCCAGAGGTCGCTTGGGCTAGTTTTCCCGGTGGGGGCTGGGAGATCGTGTGGTAGAATACCGCTGGGGCGTTGATGAAAACCGCCTCGGTGATGGCGAGCGGGACTGGCGCCCGGCAGATGGTGGTGCATGCTGCTGGGCGAGGTAGTTTTCGATTTCGCGCGGTCTTTGGCCGTAACGGGGTGGCGATGAATACGCAGAGAAGCCGCGAAGCCCAAGACGGCGATATGGGCACTGGCGGTACAAGTGATCAGCTTCTCCGCAGTGAAAGCCCAAAGGTCGGCGATCAGGTGTGCGCCAAACATCAGACTTCCGAGGAGACGTGCGCCGATCGTCGATGTACTGAACTGGTGGCACCGAACGATGGGCGGAAGGAGCGCCAGGAACAAAGGGCAAGGGCGGTGGTGTGTACGTGCCTTTGTAGTACGGTATGTGCTGCGCTGACTGGAGTGCAACAGCAGGAACAGGATGGACGAGTAATGGCGGCGATGCAGCAGGGCGTTTCAAGGCTTCCGCGTAGGTTGTCTCACGGCGGTATTCAGCACGAGCTGGTGCAGCTGTATCAGGAGGCAAGGTGTTCCAGAGGGCCTTGAGCAGCTCATCTTTGATCACAGTTGCAATAGAGCTAACCGTAGGATGAGGTGTTACACCAGCCTTTTGCAACTCTTCACATACTATATCACGGATGAGTTCACGTAGGTGGTCGTTGCTAGTTCTAGTGGCGGTGAAAATGTCGGCAGTAGACATGCCACTGATTTGCTTGTCGTATTGGTTGGATCACTGCTGCAGCATTTTTTCCATTGTCACGGCCTCGGACAAGAACTCTGCGACCATCTTCGGAGGGCTGCGCACGAGGCCGGCAAAAAGCTGGTCCTTGACACCGCGCATCAAGTGACGCAACTTCTTGTCCTCCGTCATTCTTGAATCAGCCCGTCGGAAGAGGCGCGTCATGTCTTCGATGTACGTGGTCACAGTTTCGTTTGGCAACTGGACGCGAGCCAGAATAGCTCGCTCAGCTCGTTCTTGGCGATCAGCACTGGCATAGGTCTGCAAAAGTCTACGAGAGAATTTGGGCCACGTCGTCAGCTGCTCCTCTCGGTTTTGATACCATGTACATGCCCCGTCTTCGAGATAGAAATAGACACGACCCAGTTTCGCCGCGTCGTCCCACTGATTCAAGGTGGCTACGCTCGAAGTCCACCAACCAGTCCTCAACGTCCTCGTGCTTTGTGGCATGGAATGTCGCCTGTGCCCGTGGGCTTTTCAACGTATAGCGGTTCGACGTCATGCTTCCCGTGCCGGTTGACAAGGTTTCCACCGAAGCGCTGGTCATGTTTGTCGACGTGGTGGGAGCAGTATCATCGATTTCCGGAGGCAATCCCCTGATTCGGCGGCTGTTCCGATGCACAGGAGTATTGACTGGCACTGGACTCGTATCACGGCTTCCTGGGGGGGTCTGCAGCATCCGTGAGACTACCCAGCACCTCCACCAGTTTGTCACGATGAGTCACAAGTACTGGGGGATTTATTAAACCACCGGATAGCAATCTCTAGGACGATGCATCAGTCGTGGCTGGCTCTCGAGCAGAGAAGAAGCACGCGATCTTCTTTTTCCTCTAGATTGAGAGCCGCTCTTGCTGTCGACCCACTACGCGCTGCTGGCAATATGTAATCAAAAAGCTTTTGTAGTTATGAAAACAAATGGCCCTATTCTTGAGCAAGCTCTCAGCCATTAGGAGCTGTTAAATACAAGAAAAAGATCAAACTCCCAATTTATCTTTCTCCGATGTTTAAGAGTCGATAGCCTAGTAGAAACTGAAAACATGATAAATATGTGCAGTGCAAGGCCTGCAGAGGACCAGAGCTTTCTGAGTTGCTTTCACTCATTTTTCATAATGTCCGAGTAGCCGAACTTTTTCCTCGAGTAAAAAAAAAAGGTTCATGTAGTAAGCGAGGTTTTGCTACCGATCTGGGGTCGTGTCAAATAAAATACCACACTTCTAACCTGGCTGCTACACTTAATGCACTGGCCCTATGTCAGTCATCTATAACAGTTTTCCTCTGCATTTACCGAGAAAATGCTTGGCATTCCAGAGAGCTATGATAGGGCACGATGACGAAGGCAATGACTTACACGAACTTCGGGTGTTGGTTACTTCGTCATATGAAGCGCTTAACACAGCTCTGCCAAATTTAACGCTCAAGGAGTTTTCTGAAATGCTTAAAACCAGAGAACCTCTATGGTCGCCGTTTTCAACAAGCGGTCCCAAAAGAGCACATGTCCCTCTCCCAGCTTTTGAGTGCTTGTGACCCAATGTGTTGTGAGGCACCAGTGTTTTTACTGAGAGCAGCCAGTACTTCTAGAAACCCTGACGAAACTAGAAATAGAAAAGGAAGAAAAAAAAAGATACCTGGGCTGAAGCCTCTACCAGGGTGCAGATGGTGGTTGACACTTCCCGCACACTCTCGCTAAACTGCTCATGCTCACTGTGCTTGGCATGGTCGGCGATGCCAGTCATTGCATCCCCCAGGCTCTGCACGGACCATCATTCGGCATTTAGACAACACTGCCAAAAGATCTACAGCATAGCAAGCGCAAAATTAAAGCCCTGACCAAAGCAAGATCACAGTGCATAACGAACAGTAGTGGTGTGTTCGTTAATGTTGCACCTCCATCATTAATTCTCACATCAAAGAAGAGCTGTGTGTGATAGCAGTGCCTATCCTTTTTGCGTGCTCGAGGTTTGTAGCAATGAGTGGTGCAAACAAAGTGAAGACATTTTCAACTGCCTATCAACCAGAAAAGGTATTCATGGGCCAAAAGTGAGAAATCTCCCTAACTTCCTGTAACACTGGCCTACTTTATTCCTATTCAATCAAGCTGCTTGGCAGCCCAACCTTTGAGTGCCTGCGTGCGAAATTCATTAAAAAAAAACACCATGAACTAAGCACCGGACACCCATGATGATTTTTAGAGTCCTGCGAGCAAACGCATGGCCTTTGAAATCTGAATTTTGAGATGACTAATATGATCCGAAATCAGCACAAGTGACGCCTCAAAGATCAGTGTTTGTTGCATTGGCTCATTATTGGAGCAGCTTTCATGCCATGCTTCCCATGGTTTGATTGTATTGCGCTTCTTGCAATAGGAGCCACAGCATGAACCATAGTGAAAAGGTGTCTCTTTTATTTATTAGTTGTTTCAATTGTCATTTTCAATATTTGTGCGGTTACTGGAGACTTTTTCTGCACTTTGCTGAAATTTAGACACTAGCTGAAAGAGCAGAAGGGGGCACTTGCTCGGAATCTTAAGGTATACAGAAAAATTTTTCACAGTCACCTTCCAATTTAATACATCTAGGCTAAAGAGTGTATTTCTAGTCAGTGGGCATCAACACAGCAATATAAGCTAAAGTAGCATTAGGGCTGTCAACATTTCTGATAAATGATGTGACTGGGCAAAAATAGGTTCAAGCACACCCCTAGAAGCACTGAGACATAATTTTTACGGAATGAAATCATATGTATTAGAGCTGTGTGAATCACAAAATTTCAGGTGCAAAGCAAATTCAACCACTGAAGTATGTGTGCGAATCGAATGGACTATATTTAGAACAGTTGCTAGCGAAATTGCAAGAAAAAAAAGTTGGAGAGGTTTCCTAAGCATATTATGAGTAAGCAAAATTTATCTTCTCTAGGTTAATGAAGCACTGACAGGTGGCATCTCATGATTTTCTTAACAAGAATAAAGCAATGCAGAGATTGCATGTACATGATTTAGTACGATGTCGACGAAACTTTAGACATGAGAGGCAAAGAATATTTCCTCAGAAGATTGCAAAAAGATATAACACAAACATAGTTTTTTCAGCCCCTAATAAGTTTGTGTACGAGCACAACATGATAGCTGTAAAAAGAAGCACAAACAAATTTCTTGAATGCAGCCTGCTGGATTCCACCTACTTGTGGAAAGTCCGACATCGAGCAGACCAGTAGATCTATAAATCATAGATTGCACGAGCATACCGTATTTACTTGCATAATGAATGCACTTTTTTTCTCGAAAAATCAAAGCAGAGACAGGGGTGTGTTCATTACATGGCGCAAATTTTATGAAAACATTACCGGCATGAGCAAAAAAATGCAATATAGTTAAAAAACAAATTAGGTAGCTTAGCCTTTCTCAATTGACATACACGCACACTGTTTGCAAACAGTGTGTTTATAGCACTTCACTCTTCTTCGGTGGTTGACGGCACTATCATCTGCAAGCTGTCCCTGCGCCGCCCGTGCACTTCATAAAAGCGTTTTACATCTTTCTCTTCTCCCAATCGTTTATTGCAACAGTGGTATCTGCTGTGATCTCGAGCGATGCCCAGAAGCATGTGCTACAACACTACAATGCACATTTCTAACGACGTGGCAACCTGGCACGACGACCACAGCGCTGCCATTATTTTGCAGCAAGTAACCAACATTGCAGCAAGCGACCACCAAAGCATCAAAACAAGCCATAAATAACAAGATTAACGACGAAATATGGCCACCATGATGCTGTCCATTTGAGAAGTTACTGTAGAAAAGGTAGTCTATATCTTGCATTCCTTGAAGGAAATGTGAATAACAAGCACGAAGAGCAAATTACAACCCAAGGAAAAATCTTGGGCACTACCATGCTGCGAAAATCTTCACAATTTTTTTCTGGGTGACAAGCGATTTTTTCTTGTTTTCCAGAAAACAGCAAAGCGATAGCGACAAATGGCCTTCCACGACAGCCATGGCAACACCAAATCTTGTTCTTATCGCTACGGAATCGTGTGCATGTGGTTGGGCCTTAAAGTTTAGTATGAGAAGGAAGCAACTGTGGACTGGCGCGGGCAGTTTAGTGACCTTGGCTGTGTGCTTGTCAGCTGCGACGTCTTTTTACACTCGCACTGTTTGTAAACCGCACTGTGATGTGCAGATAATTAAAAAAAGACGTAGCGAATACTGATAGAAAGAAAAACAATGTAGCACGCGACAGCAGGCGAAGGGGGGTTGGAACGCGTTGGTACTCACTTTTGCAACCCAACCGCATACACTGGTTCTTGCCCATGGTGTAGAGAGCAGCCAACACTTGCTCACATTACATAGGAATGTGAGTTAAGGACAGCCAAAATTAATACGCCTCAGTTCAGGCAAAAATGTTCACTATGGACCAGTGGGAGACCTTGCTCGCCAGTGAGGAAAAAGAGGGCCAAGTGGCGCTCCTGGACCAGGCGCGGCGAGCTGCTGAGGCCAGTTTGTGAAGCCCTGGACTAGAGGCCCCACCCACCTGCTTTTAACCCTGACTTGATTTTTTTTTCTCTGCAATAAAAGTTTTTCCATTCGATTTCCAACATGTTACCACATCTTCAATTATTTCAAGGGGCTCTAATCCCATGCTTTTTTGAAGTTTCTTGAGGTGATTCCAAGCCTGGGTGCTCCTCTTCTAGAATCCTACAATTCCTCATGCCTTGATGCACAGCTGCTCAAACTTCAGGGTGTCCCTCTTCACGGAGTTAGAAAGTCATAAATCCAAAGAATAATCACTTAGCGTCAATGCTTCGAGGTGATGACGGCGTTGTATTACCAGTCGCTCAATGCACAGAGGCTTTCAACAATAACTTCGCCCCGGTATTTACTAATGAACTACCTTTAAATAGTTCACTTAATCTCCTGCAACCTCATGTTGCACTTCTATTTTGAACCTGTTATAGTAACAGCGCACGGCAAACAATGTGCAATAGAATGACTTCAGCCTGGGTCTCGATGAAAAACACGCCTGGGTCCCAATGAAATCAGCGCTAAACTTCTAAAGCTAACCAAGCATCATTCAGCCTGTTCTGTTTTGTTCTGTTCGAAGTGTTTTGCTGTGGAGAGGTTGAGGTTCATATTGCCTCGGCTACACCATATCAATAATTTCTGCAGGGAAAAGAAATTATAATACTTAACGGTACTCAGAAATGGACAATAAAAAACAGCTTTAACATAATAGCACACTGAAACCAGTAGAAATATCATGCCAATGTACAGTTTGTTTGCAGTAGTTCACACACACATAAAATGTTCACATGCACACCTTTTTTTTCTAGTGTCAGTATATGCAATAACACATCATTTCATATATGCCAACCCTTGGCTGTCTCTCACAGGCACTTATCCAGCCCGGTCTCCACTAAGAAGTCTGTCAGAAAGATGTTCGCCTTTTTCTGAAGATGCATCTCAGGCCATGGTCTGAGTAATTTCCTTAATGTGAGGGGCTATCTGTCTAAACTTGCTAGTTTGTTCCTTAATTTTTCTCTTTCATTCGCGTGTTTGACCCACTCCAAAAGAATATGGTGAACATTTTCTTCTGCATGAAAACAATGACATTCCGGGAAGTTTGGATTGACGTATTTTGAGCAGGGAACTGTTTAGTATGCCACTTTCTGTCGAATTCTGTGGATTAATGTCTCAAGTTTCATGGGAGATCATTCAGCCAACAGACTTCCACTAATGTTTCAACAATCCATTGACAGGATGCGTACCAGAAGACTGGAAGTGACAATTCATAATTCCTATATTTAAGTGCGGTGACAGTTCTTTTCCAAGAAATTACAGGCCCATATCATTGACGTCAAACAGCTGCAAGTTACTGGAACACATAATACACAAACATATCATAACATATCTAAACAACAACAACCACCTACTTCTCATAAACCAGCATGGCTCTCGCAAAAACCTGTTCAGCCAAACCCAACTTTCCGAATTAGTCACAGACCATCAATCACTGCACTCATCCCTGTACGTCCACACAATATTCATCGACTTTTCGAAGGCATTCGACCGCGTCCCTCACAACCGTTTGATTTAAAAGCACGCAACCTTCAGCTTGACCACAAAACAACAAAATGGATTGAACATTTTCAAACAAACCAAAAACAGTTTGTCAAAATTCAAAACCATATATTAAACAGTGAACATGTAATATCAGGGTAATCACCGAGGTCAGTGCTAGGTCCACTTTTGTTTTTTATCTACATCAACGACATAGCAAGTGACATAAATGCGTCAATTAGATTGTTTGCAGATGACTGCGTAAGAGATAAGAAAATAACGGTGCATAGTAACCGAACTACACGGGATATGGCTGCAACTTCGTTCTTTGTGTATCTAACGTGTTTTGTTCGGTCACTGATAAGACTGGGCTAAATATGGCATCGCACGAGTGTCATTTAGGCAGAGCTTAGTGCAGCAGGTCGGACTGGCACCAAATGACACAATTAGCGCAGCACTTTCACTCCTGAACGAAAGAAAAACTGAAGGCAGAGATAACCTCCAAACTTATTTAGTGGTAAAAAACTGCATTATCATTGTGATACCAATTATATCACGGCGGGAGAGGGCACGGCGGCATCGCCTCGAGCATGTCTGACTGCGCATGGCTGATCGTGCAGGTTCTTCTTGTCTGCTCAACGCAAGGGCCAGCTCTGCTGGCTGATCCTGGACAACCGCCTTGGAACAATGACTC